TATTCGAGCAACGTCTTCAACTTCCATCCGTACCGCAGCCGCATGTCGATGTGTTGCGAGGAGCATTGCGTGGAGCTTGGTTAATAACGTAATTCTGCCTTACGAGGTTTCAAATCCTTTGCGTGTCGCTTTGTTGTCTTCTGGCGCGCGCGTCTTGAAAGGGAAGCCGGTAAAATTGAGTGATCCTTTGTCGCCTCAGTTTTACGACGGCGTAGATAAGCAGTTTACATCAGTAGATGTAGCAGTGTTATCAATCACTGGCGCATTGTTAGATTTGGCAATTCCAGCAGCGATTAAGTCTGTTAAGGGCTTTGTGGTCGCTAGAGTTCCGGTTGCTCACATATCGGGTGCTGATGAAGCGCGCATGAAGTGGTTGCGCAGTCTGCAAGATAAGGATTGTTTGTTGATGTTGAGTTGTCCTTCTGTTGAGTCTGAGTACCAGTCTTTTATCTGGCTGATTGTATTCACGAATCCGGCTATCAAGCGTGTGATTTTGAAGGATAGCAGCTTAGCTGAGCACTTGCTTTGAATGTGCGTACATGGAGCTTTCCACGGGCATTCACCATCTCGGCTTCGCCCGCTGGGGGGGGGAGTCTGCCGTACGTCTGCACGTGTTTTGTTCGGTGCTACAGTCATGTGACGCGACAGCTGTCACGACATTTTAGCGTCACGTTCATTTTACCGTCTTTTATAATCGTCTTAGGTTATAATCGGTGTGAATACGCGAATTTTGTGTATTATCGCGTAAGGTGTTTGGTTCTTATCTTACACTTCGCTGATGGACTTATGGACGAGACGAGAATGTACGCTCGTTCGCGTATGTTTATGTACTTGTTAATTGTTCATTTCTTGTGTGAATGTTCTGTCACACGGTTTATAAGGTGTTTCACTTGTGTCATTTGGGGACTATACGTCGTGGTCGTACTCGAGGCTTATCTTTTGAGGGCCTCCTGTGATCGACAGTGTGACTTTGGTATTTATAGCCGGCAGCGAGCTTGGAAAAGTCGCTTTACGGCTCATGATCGGAACATTGTAAAGTTCTCTGAGCTAGACAACAAGCCCTGTGCGGACCTCCCTTCTTTCAAGCCGCATAAGTAACATCCCTTAACCAGCCGAACTCCTGTGTGGGCCACTCAACGCCCATATCCTTCACGCCGGGCATACTCAGTCGGTAAGGTAAATCTTTATCACTGTTGATTTGTTGCCTGGAGGGAATCTTGGCCCCTTTCGCGGGTTGCTATTTGCTGCGTATTACGACTTGCCCGTTCGTGTGCCGTCTAGTCAGCATTCAAGCTACCTGCAGGACTTCGCCTAGACCACCCTGCATTCCATAGCCACGTCCTCCGCAGTGATGCCCGCAGCATGCGCCTTGTCCTTAGAGTACCGCGGGCATTATGCGACGTCCACAGCAGCCAGAGCCCGCAACTTGGGTGGTTTGTATGTTTCCGCGCTCTTATTATGTAAATTATGGTGGATTTGGTTTCCCATAAAGTTTGTCTGCATGAATATTAGGCGGACGTCCAGTTGAATACGTTCCATTGCCTGGAGTGACGTCCACGCACCGTGATCGAAATTCATTGCCTGCAACTCCTCGGCCACGCTACAGATCACACACAGGCCGTCATTCGAGGCTAATGCACTATGAAGTTCGTTGGGCTGCGGTGGCCTGCACAGCGCGTTCATTTTGCGGATTTGTGCTTCTTGAGAAGCAGGACCGGATACAAAGCACATCTGCCTTTCAGAAGTTCGTCACTAGTACTTTAACATTTCAGGGACACTGCGTCGATGTAGGTACATGTACATGGAGGCATACCGGGGACACGTTCAAACACGCAGGACGTTACACTCAGCTGCACTGCAGGGCGAGAACGTTCTTACATGTGATAACATTCATTTGCGTCCTCGGTACGCAGAGGCCTTGAGGTACGGCATAAGTCCCGCAAGTGAGGATATCGCAAGGCCCTCATGTGAGGATATCCGGCGTGAGATCCACGCAGCCACGCATTTTTCCCTATTCGCTACATGGCGCTTAATACTTGCATGGTAACGGAACTCATCTGCATTACAACGCACATCTTACGTGGACATATGAGACCATGGTGCTGCTACACAGCAGCCGCCGGTTGAAGCTGCAGCCTTCGTGGACATTTTGTCAAGGTATGGAGCCATTTCTTAACACTTCTCCTTTAAAAATGCAAGTAAAGAGGTATGGAATGGCTTGTTACATTACGCTGTCACCGTGCTTGTGGATGTCGGCACTGCCGCAGTATGACAGCCAGGTTTCGCCTCGCAGGTCGGGCATTGTGAGCGTGGAGGTGTACAAGTGTCAATATAAATGATGACGACCACTGCGGACGAAGTGGAGATGTTGGAAGGAGAAGTGTTGCGAGCGATGCTACCTCAAGGCCAGCGGACCTTCGCACAGTGCATGCGGGATTGCTCAGATCTACATTACTTGATGCATATAGGCATTTGAGACTAGTATCACATCAAATCGCTGTATCCTGCATGCTCGCCGCATTCACTGGCCTTCATAGACGACAACCGAGAATTTTAACATTGGCATTTAAAACAGCCTTGCACACACTTCGTTCTGCGCATATCTGTTGTAATGAGTATTAGGCTTCACAGCATGAGCGAGGTGCCAAGATACCTCACCACAGTGAGTGTGCTTGTCCGGAGAAATATTGAATATAACTTCGTCAGCATCGTTTGCTGCTTATGTATTCATGACTTCATGACGAATGGAGCCATGTTTTACCCTCAGGTGCGGGCGGTACAACACTTTCCTCCACTTTTGACCTTGAAATCAAGATGTACTGAATGTTGGCAACACTTCTTCCACGAAATGGCCAACACGGAGGAGGACTTGTTGCATGGAAGGCATCTGGCATCTGGTTACCGTGTGCTTGTGAACATGTTCATAGCAATGCATTCACGACGACCTGCAGTCAATGACAGACTAACAACCATTGCAGCTTCCATTTTTATGTATTCTGCACATATTGAACTTCTGCCGAATGGAACATCTTTGCTTTAGTAGTGAATAAAGGCAAGCAATTGCTTAGGTGCAGACAGCGAGGAAGTATTTCCTCAATCCAAGTTAGCATTTCATCACCAATGTCAGAATGGATGACTGCCTACAAAATATGATAGATGCTTCGCGTGGCAGGCATAGAGTGGTCAAATTGTCGTGTGTCTGAGCAGCGTCCAGTCCCAGAGTGCAATTCAGCAGTATGCTTCATTTTAGGACATTTCTTTTCACATGCGAAGCATTGTGATGAACGCATCCTTATGTAAATATTTGTCGGCGGCTTGCAACGTTTGGATCTAAATTTGTAGTCTCTGCTTCAATCCACTATGCAAACTAGGATATATGTCTAATCAAAATCGCAGTGGGGGTTGCAATCTGAACTAGGAATCCACCACCATATGCAGAATTTTAGTTACCGTCCAAATAGGCGTTGGCTTTGGATTCGACAAAAATGTCCGGGAGATGTGATGTTCGCCAGGATTTTGTCTCTCCGTGCAGCTAAAGTAACATCTTGTGACTCAGCGATCGGTTTGATTTCCCGTTGGATCCTGTTTTTAGACAGAAGGAAAGAATTTCGAATGAATGTGCCCCAGGGCCTTATGGCCTCCATCCTGACTAAAACAGGATCCAAAAGAATTTCAAAGTGACACAGCTGTCGATTTGAATTCCCGTTGGATCCTTGTAGCAGCTGACCGCTGAAAAGGTCTCTCGAGTTGCTGGCGGTCGCGCTCTGCGCGTATTTATAGCACCGTACTGTGTACCGGCTGCTACATCCCCCCCCCTTTGAAGGGAACCGTCCCGGGCCCTTTAGAGCCTCGTATACCGCCAGCCTGTGCCTACCTTCTCCTACCCTCGGGCAGTGGGGTGACCAGGCCCACGTCACGTCATGTGCCCGCTTCACATGCGCCTAGCCTTCAGGTTTTTCAGGCACAGAGACAGTCCAGTCGGTTCAGCTACTTTTATTTTGTAGTTTTTGTGCGATATTCGCTCACTGAGTCGCCACACCCGAAATTGCACTCGAACGTGATCGGTGGGGGTTGAACCGACGACTTCAGGATCGTGAATTTTCACGAGGTCTCGATACCAAATGTAGCAGCTGACCGCTGAAAAGGTCTCTCGAGTTGCTGGCGGTCGCGCTCTGCGCGTATTTATAGCACCGTACTGTGTACCGGCTGCTACAATCCTGTTTTTAGCCAGGATGTACACATTTCTAATGAATGTGCCCCAGGGCCTCATGGCCTCCATCCTGACTAAAACAGGATCCAAAAGAAATTCAAAGTGACACAGCTGTCGATTTGAATTCCCGTTGGATCCTGTTTTTAGTCAGGATGTACACATTTCTAATGAATGTGCCCCAGGGCCTCATGGCCTCCATCCTGACTAAAACAGGTTCCAAAAGAATCAATTTATTAGGAAAATACCGCCCTCCGCGGGTATTGAACCTGAGTTGCTGGAATGCAATATGCTAACAGGGGGGAACCTTAGTGCAACAAGATTTCCACTTGCAGTATAGCTGCACCAAGTGTTACATAAGTGCTCGTTTTTGTTGACATAGCGCTAAAGTGGATGTCCCAATGGGGACTCCCTTCGGTTTCCCCCAGCTGGGGACTCCACCGAAGGGAGCCCAAGGGTGATGAAGCCCATCGGCTAAAACCCTTTGCGGGTAAGGGCTATGTATTTTGTACCCTAGGACAGCCGGCGGTGGGGTTGCCTATAGCCCATGAATATGCCCTGTAACGGGGGCCCCCATAATGGGACCCCCCATTACAGCCCCCCTTACGGCCCGTAAACTGGACAGGCCCATTAGCGGCTCAAGCCATAACGGGCCCGCCAGCGTTTGTACGGGGGATAAGCGCCTATGGGTCCGTGTATGGGGCTACGTGCTCCCATTGGGCAGGTTACTCGCCAGCTAGAAGCTTGGTAAATGTGCAACCTTGAAAGTGTCATAATTATGCACAGATATGCGTGCTGAGTGTGTGAAATGTTATGACGAGGTTAGTTAAAATGTTTGCCATCCAATTTGAGTGTGGGGAGGCATTATTTGTCCTGACGATTTGCTCTCTACCTACGGCCATTTGGCAGTCCAGAGACGTGTAGCGCCCAAGGCTCAGCAGCTACGGGACAGTTGTCTGGACGAGGTTATTTTTGACGTGCAGTCCCGAAAGCACATTGGGAAGCATGAATATAGCCGGTGAATTCATCATAAGTGAAATTTAGGTTACTTCCGGTGTTTGCCACCTGTATTGGTGCTCCGATGTAACATGACCATTGGTAGTCATGGTCATGGCGCAAAGGAACGCCGATTGTTGCAGCACAAAGTAGAATATAGCTCATGAACAAATAAGTACATAGGCAAGGTTACCGGAGGCCGACATTGATCGACCTTGTCGACCAGGTCCGCCAATGTAGTGGGTCCATGCCACAATATCCGAAAGTCGGCTGAAATCATTTAAAACCTTGTCAGGTTTACTGAACAAAATTACGACCGACGAGGTTTCCGAGCCATTGGCTGACATAACCGCTCATGTACGGCTTTGGCTATTATGGCTTCAATGTCCTCTCCATCAAACAAATATCTTCATTACGAAAGACCAAAGCACGTAGCCATAACTCCCAACTCAGTCAAACACGATATGGGCCAAGTATTGTTGCTAATCGGAACCGCTTCAAGTGAGAAGGAAACCGCTTCAAGTGAGAAGGAATTCGGAATAGCTTCAATTGGGATAAGGAATTTGTGTTATATTTTACTATGCCTTGTAGCAACGTTAAAATAGAACTCACCGCCACTCACTGTCGCTGAACTAACTTTAGTTACTCTTGGCTGACATCCAGCCTGGAATGGAGGCGGGTGGCCACCGTGAGGAGGAATTGGGCTCGCTTGGAGAGGTGATATGGGCGGGAGGCGCGGGGCTCTTATGTGTTTTATGTGGGGCGTTAAAAAGCTGTCGTACTCCGATATGGCTATCGGAATACGGCAGTTTTTTTATGTACGCAGGTAGTGGTGGGCCACATCTGTGCCAGGGTTGTTTTTCCTTGTGGATTTGTTACCCGTTGCCCTCTTCCTTGTTCCTGATGCTATGGAGGGTGGCTGGGGCTGGTTGGGGGAGGGGGGCGTGTATGTTTCACCACCGTCATCGACGTGCCTGCCCTAATTCTCATGTTCCCATCCATGTGCTGCACGTGCAACAGGCCTCGGAAGATGGGGCCGACGTCCAGCCGGGAATGGAGGTAAGATGGGGGCGAGGGTCGGGGCTCTTATGTGTTTTACGTGGGGCATCAAAACGCTGTCGTACTCCGATATGGCTATCGGAATACAGCAGATTTGTTTGATGCAGGCAGGTAGTTGTGGGGCACAGCTGTGCCAGGGTTGTTTTTCTTTGTGGATTCGTTACCCGTTGCCCTCTTTCTTGTTCCTGATGCTATCGAGGGTGGCTGGGGCTGATTGGGGGAGGGGGGTGTGTATGTTTCGCCTCCGTCATTGACGTGCCTGCCCTAATTGACGTGCCTGCCCTAATTCTCATGTTCACATCCACGTGCTGCACGTGCAGCAGGCCTCGGAAGATGGGGATGACGTCCAGCCGGGAATGGAGGTAAGATGGGGAGGAGGGTCAGGGCTCTTATGTGTTTTACGTGGGGCATCAAAACGCTGTCGTACTCCGATATGGCTATCGGAGTACGGCAGATTTGTTTGATGCAGGCAGGTAGTTGTGGGGCACAGCTGTGCCAGGGTCGTTTTTCTTTGTGGATTCGTTACCCCTTGCCCTCTTTCTTGTTCCTGATGCTATCGAGGGTGGCTGGGGCTGGTTGGGGGAGGGGGGCGTGTATGTTTCGCCTCCGTCATTGACGTGCCTGCCCTAATTGACGTGCCTGCCCTAATTCTCATGTTCACATCCACGTGCTGCACGTGCAGCAGGCCTCGGAAGATGGGGATGACGTCCAGCCGGGAATGGAGGTAAGATGGGGAGGAGGGTCAGGGCTCTTATGTGTTTTACGTGGGGCATCAAAACGCTGTCGTACTCCGATATGGCTATCGGAGTACAGCAGATTTGTTTGATGCAGGCAGGTAGTTGTGGGGCACAGCTGTGCCAGGGTTGTTTTTCTTTGTGGATTCGTTACCCGTTGCCCTCTTTCTTGTTCCTGATGCTATCGAGGGTGGCTGGGGCTGGTTGGGGGAGGGGGGTGTGTATGTTTCGACTCCGTCATTGACGTGCCTGCCCTAATTAACGTGCCTGCCCTAATTGACGTGCCTGCCCTAATTGATGTGCCTGCCCTAATTCTCATGTTCCCATCCATGTGCTGCACGTGCAGCAGGCCTCGGAAGATGGGGCCGACATCCAGCCGGGAATGGAGGTAAGATGGGGGCGAGGGTCGGGGCTCTTATCTGTTTTACATGGGGCATCAAAACGCTGTCGTACTTCGATATGGCTGTCAGAGTACGGCAGATTTGTTTGATGTAGGCAGGTAGTGGTGGGGCACATCTGTGCCACGGTTGTGTGTTTCGTTGAGGAATCTTTAGCCATGTCATGATGATAACACTACATGCTAGGAAGTGTGGCTGGGGCTGGTTGGAGGAGTTGGGATTGTATGTGTCAGCACTGTCTTTGCAGTGCCTGCTTTAATTCTCATGCTCTCATACATGTGCAGCAAGTGCAGCCAACCTCCGATAGTGGGGCTGCAGCCGAAGTTTTAATTTAGGAGGGTGGTGACAAGGAGGGGGAATGGGTTTCACTCAGGGAGGTGAGATGGGAGGGTTGGGGCTCCAGGTGTTGTATCCTGTAAGCTTACTGTTAAGCTCTAGGATCTGTTGCCTAACTGTCAGATGCCGGTCTGTCCACCCTACTGCCGCACTGCTGCAGAAGTCCATACTGGCGTCTGGGCAGGGGCTTTACCTGTCTAAAGCTGGAACCTGCCTTCCTGGATGTCTGCTTCACGAGGCGAGCGTAGTTCCTGCGAACTATGGTCAACATCAAACCACCCAGCCGTACTGGAACTTATTGGCATGAGGCCCAAGTGGATTCTAGAATGATTATTATTCAATCCACTTGCCTCAACCGGTATCTTTTGATACCACCATTTCATTGTTGTGTCACCCCCAAGCTCCCAGGTCCCCCGGCTCCCAGGCCCCCAGGCTCCCAGGCCCCCAAGCTCCCAGGCTCCCAGGCCCCCAGACTCCCAGGCCCCCAGGCTCGCACGCTCCCAGGCCCCCAGGCTCCCAGGTCCCCAGGCTCCCAGGCTCCCAGGCCCCCAGACTCCCAGGCCCCCAGGCTTCCAGGCCCCCAGGCTCCCAGGCCCCCAGACTCCCAG